AAATAAATAAATAAATAAATAAATAAATAAATAAATAAATAAATAAATAAATAAATAAATAAATATTACTAAAATGCATCTAAATGAATCCATTCCCCTCCCCTCTTGTGAAAAATGCAACAAAATTCACATTTCATTTTTTTCAGTTATAAACATATAATTTTGAGATAAGTTGTGGTCAGTTAAGTGTACAAGTTAAACACCATGTGGCAGTTTAAGTACTTTTTTTAATGGCAATGTTTATCTTGCTGTTTATTGCTTCAAGCAGTTTTCAAGTAGAAAATATGAATTATAAACATGTAAAATAAATATCCAGAGAGCTATAGTGTGTACATTTTGTAGCATTTGAAGTGGCTTTTTGGGATAATTCTATCAACACTAAAATGTGTGATTTTGATTTGGCTCTACGTGCTTAATAATCCTGCTTTCTGTTAACAGGTAGAAGTCCTTCACCCTCAGCCAGGTTGGGCTGAACTAGATCCCGAAAATCTGTGGACCCAGTTTGTTGAGGTAGTGAAAGAAGCAGTTGAAGGTAATCATGCCAATCCTTTGGCTCTTGCAAATCTTAATTGTTACAATATTTAATTTTATCTCCATATCTATATCAAATCCTTTACAAAATAGTTTGTAGTATAAGAAAAGTGTAAGTATGTTAAAAACTATAAAACTAAACTTTACTAAGATATGATACCATACAGTGGTGCCTCGCTTAACAACGATAATCTGTTCCAGGAAAATCGTTGTTAAGCGAAAACATCGTAAAGCGAAATTAAAAAGCTCATTGAAACGCATTGAAAACCCTTCAATGCGTTCCAATGGGCTAAAAACTCACTGTCCAGCAAAGATCCTCCATATGGCGGCCATTTTCAGTACCTGTATAATTTAATTTTATATACTATAAGCACAGTGGGGAGCCATTTTAAGCACCCGGCGGCCATTTTGAAAACCTGACAATCAGCTGTTTTGATCGTCGTTAAACGAAGAATTGCTTCCCGAAGCAGGGAACTGATAATCGGGAAGCAAAAAAAAAACCATTTAAAACATAGTTTTGCGATCGCAATTGCGATCGCAAAAACATCGTCATTAAGCAGATTCGTCGTAATGTGGGGTAATCGTTAAGCGGGGCAGAACTGTACAAGGTATGACATCCTGCACATCTATATTTTATAAACTATACCCACTCTTAGAGTTACAGGGTGCGGGTGTAGGTGTCCAGCTGTGAACAGGTCCTGCCGTCAGACAGAGTGAGGCGGTCACTTCAGGCAGCAGATACTAAGAAGTGGCAGCATTTTAGAGAAGCTAGTTGTGAGTAGAGGTGGGGATATTCGTATTTCTATACCTCCTCACAGCTGGACATAATGAGGGGCTGGCCCATGGGGCCGGCCTGTCCACTCACATGTCTGGCAGCAGCCTTGATCAGCCTTCCAGTCACTCCCAGAGCGGCGCTCGCTTTCTGGTCACCTAGCTACTTGGCAGGTGTGCAGGGAGACTCGTCCCCCTCTCGCCGTCTGTAGTTAGCTATATGAGCGAAAAAAAGTGGCACTCTGGAGCAACTGGAAGGCAGACTGAGGCTGGACATGTGAGTGGACAGTCTGGCCCCAGGAGCTAGACCTCATTAAGTCCAGTTGCGAGCCATGCAGCTGGTTCTGCTATTTTCCACTACCCTGAAGACACTATTCCACTTTCAGTATTGTAGTTAAATTCAGTTACCAGTACATTTTGCTTTTGTACATGACATGTGAAGTGACATGATCTTACTCTTTGTTTCAGGAAGCACAATGTCTTTGGCTAGCCTTGCTCACCCAGTTTTAGAAATAAATATGTCCCATTATGTTCAGTGGGATTTGAACTCAACATTGCTGTTTTTTTTTATCCCATTCCTTTCTTTCTCTTTAATTGAAATCTGTGCTCATTGATTCTGAAAAGACTGCAGTTATATGCCATGCAATTTAGGAGATAGGGATGACTTTTCTGCTTTGGCTTGCTAGCCTTTATAATCAGTTTCTGTTAGGAGTGGAGTGAAAGGCTGTGTAAGACTGGAAGGTGCTAGTCAATCACAATGCTGTTTGTTAGTACTGTGGAACCTCTACTTATGAGCTTAATCCGTCCCAGAAAATGTTCGTTAGTTGAAACATTGGTAAGCAGAAGCAAAATTTCCCAATTGAAAACTGATTAATCCGTTTTGGCTGTTTTTGGTTCTTATATAGAGGTATTAGTTCCCATAGGAACTAATGCAAAGCCAGTTAATCCATACGCTACCATTAGGGGGATAATTTGTCTTCTTTTGACCTAAAATGAACTTAGGTTTAAAAAAGGGCAGAAAAGGAGGGGGGAGGGAACACCTTCTAAACAGAACACCTTTAAAAACAAGCACCTTTTAAAGAAAATCAAGCACCTTTTAGCTTAAAAAAGGGCAGGAAAGGAGGGAGGGAGAGAGGGAACACCTGCTAAACAGAACATCTTTTAAAAAGCCACAGAATTCAGCAAGCATTATTCCAGCACAGAACTCCTCATCACAAAAAGAGAGGGGGGGGGTAAAGACTTGAGTCTAAACTCTATTTTAAAGCCTGACTGGCTGCATCTACAACGACCACAGCCCCTCACAGAATATTTTCTGATTTTAAAACAGACTTTAGAGCCACA